TCTATCCTTCATCAGAAGATCCAAGGCAGATAAACCTTCTTTATCTTGGATATACAAACTAACCCCATGCTGAATGAAAAAAAAAAAAAAAAAAGAACAAATTTACTGATTTTTTTTCTCATTTCATAAAAAGGAAAGAAATGAATTTGATAAATATTCCTCCATTTTTCCAGTTACAGTTAATATTTGCAAAATCACTATGTTCTATGAACAAGTCTCATGAACAAGACATTAAATGCAAAATTCTAAAGATGATTATAGCTTACTAAGACTAAATTAGGGTTAACAGAAATCTACTTATTTCAAAAATAAGTCTACCATAAGACTCAACTGGACAGACCATTTTATTGCCTATGGAACTTTAATTATCACTAAACACAGAAGCAGTCACGTGCTCCCACAACCTAAAACAAGGAAACCTGTTCACATGCTTTCAAAAGCAGAAGTACAACAGAATGTTAGTTAAAGTATAGAAGAATCTTCTGTTCACACTGAGTGCCTTCAATGAAGGCAGTTGCTCTTCTGCTATAATTTGTTAATTACATACGTTGACCTGGTAATTGGATTCAATGTATAAATGTTGAGTAAGTATACCAGGCCATCAAGAAACATACAGCAGAAAAGAAAGTAATAATGGGTAAACAATATTTAAGGGTTTCAAGAGATGCTGCCTATACCAGGGTAGCCAACCCAAGAAATCTCTCTCTACTGACAGGATACAAACTTTTTATTGACAACCCAAACCTTTGCTACCAACACATGTTTTTACTGATATACATTGTACATAAAATGTAAATGCCCTGCTGCCAAACCCATTAGAAGGGATGGGTTCAGTTTTAAGGGTTTAACATCAACCATAGTAAATAAGACTGGTTGTCAGTAAAGTTTGCATTAAACTAATTTTTTCTTCAGTTAGAAAGGCAGCTTGACGGCAGCACTGGTTTTACACCAGAGGTCACCTACTCACCCCTACACCCTGATGTGCCCCCCCTCAACACCCAGCCACCACTCTCTCCATCTGAGCACAGACCGTCAAAGAATG